GTGTCCTTCATCTTCCTCTGCGGGGCCGGCACAATTTGTCACATATACTGAGGGCATGTGGTAAATGACAGCATTGCCATGTGCTGATTAGGTGTTGAATAGAGGTGCTACTGTGTTGTACAATTGGGGACATTGATGTACTGTTTCAAGGTAAAAACAGAATACATCAATAGCATAATGGGGTAAAAACCATAGACTGTATGTACTATGGACAACTTGGTTCTGCCTTCCACCAGAATACGGATTTGAAGCCAAAAAGCTCTCGGTATTTCTGCGTGTTTTCTCCATTTCCTGAAACCAACATTGCGCAGTAGCGTTGTACGCATTCTGCTGGAGAGTCGCTGTGATGTCACTTGGCTCAAACAGCGTATCCCCCAGGTGAGCTACGCAATCTTCGTATGCCCATAGGCTGTATCAAGTGTCAATCATAGAGAACATGAACCCCCGAATAACTTTTAAAAATGTAGCTGTACAGAAAAAAGAGGACTTGAGCACAAACCATTCTTACAATAACTATATGTCAATATTGCGAGCAGGGGGGAGAAAAATTTATGTTCTGTGTAATAAATTTCTAAAGTTTGTCCACAGCTCCATAGGGATTGCTGGAGGAGGCGGGATTTCTGACCTATACTGCAGCCCGTCACCAGGGGGTGCTGTTCTTGGAGTGGCTTCACCCAGCGAGGAGGCAGACGGCGTCCATTCTATATACAGTCTATGGTTGATAGGCATAAAACAGGAGATAGACAGAGAGCTATATAACTTAATGTTTATCAAAGGGGTTTCTTGTTTTAAAAAAAACTGACAGTAAGGGATAAATATGCAGCTTTTTCAATCTAAATGTTTAAACTCTAACTAGCTGCATCATTTTCAGACATCTGCTGAAGACAAAAACAATGATTCAGCTTACTGAATCAGCCATCGCTGCGCTTGTGTTTCCTGCAATATCTACAAATTATAATGCAAACCGTCAAACAATGCTGTCCTTTATTTACTAAGTGGATAACATCTGGAAGAACCTTGGGAGTTGTCAAAACTGTCATGACAAAATTTAACTCTGACAAGAAGAACTAATTCAAGGGATTGGTGTGGTCAAACTGAGTTATGCAAGTTTAATCAGATGTGTTTTGAGACAGAATCAGAAAATAGAGAGTCGATATTATAGTTGTCTGCTGGAACAGAGTGACTGCATGGAGGCTCTGGACTGCATGGTGGTCAAGCAGGTGGGTTGTGCTGTAAGGTGAATGACAGAAGAAGACCAGAGAGAACAAGTGGTTGTGTTGATGTGCAGGAGTTCAGAAAGGTTAAGAGAAGCAAGGTCATGGATGGCCTTTAAGGTGATGCAGTATTTGACAGTTAAGTAAAGTCAAGCTGCTGAGGAGCAGGGGTGATGCACTGAGACGGTTCTGGAGATCATGTGAGCTGCAGAGGTCTGGACCGCAGAGGAAGTTTGTGGTCGGACTTTAGAGGACGACCACAAAGAGTGAGGAGTTACAGTAATCAATGCAGGATGTAAACAGAATGCCAATGTGACTGGGTGTGAGGGATAAGCTGAGAAGATTAATGTAACGTTAATACAAATATACTGACTTTGTGACACTGTTGAGTTTCAGTTGCCATGGTTTCCTGTACACAAATGAGCAGAGAGTGTTGAGTGACAGAGCACTGGGGGTACTTGGGTATTACTGGCGCAGAAATTGCACTGCCAACAAACATTTTGGTGGAGTATTGCACAGCAGTGTAGACACTCCAATGCACAAGTATGTGGTGCACACAATGGCATCAGGGACGGTGTTTGGGATCATGCTAAGGTCACAGCTTTGTATCAGTGCAGAGGTGCAAACCAGGGTTTGGTCTCATATTATTGCTGTATAATAAATCCAACATATAGAATTTGGTTTTGAAGATTTACATTGGTTACAGTATGGGATAAATATGAAGATATAGTACATCCTCCTCTACGTACCATAGCGGCCGTTTCATATATTACTTTATATTTACTACAATTTATTACTATATTTCTAAAAAACATACACTATTTTGCTTGCTCTGTCTTACTTCACTCTCTTTTTCTCCCTCACCCCTGTCAAAGTTGCGGTTTTGGTGGTACGGTTCAAGATTACCGTAATATATACCATACATCATATCCAGACAGAAAGCACAGATTCTCTGCGTTCCTTCACCATTGCAATTTTTCAGATTGAGAATTTTTTAAAGGAGTTACGGTATTGAGAGGCTGTGTAGCGCTCTGCCGATATTTCTTGTGTTTACAATGAATGCCTAACTCACATGGTTACGACTACCGTAGTAAGTCATATATGTGCGCATGCCCACAACTTTCAGCTGTCCAACACCGTTGACATTTTTCTGATCGGACAAACTTCAACAGAGTTACGGTAATAACACTCTGGGTATAGAAAACAAAGCGCCGGCGCTATGGCCATAAATACAGATTAGGGGACTAATGCATAATTTAACAGAATACGTTTCAATATGGGAAAAAATACTCACTACTTGTTCATCATTTCCACACGACGTATCACTTGCGGTAGCCGCTGCTGCGGTGAAAAAAACTGTCACTTTCGGTAATGTTGACATTAACTTTCTACTGTCCTCCTACTTTTTCCCTTTTTCAGCTCCGCTGGGGTAACTTCTTTTCATAGTCTCTTTACTTCCTTTCTCTTCTCCTCTGTTCCCTTCTCGTCTCTTCTGTATCGCGCCATTTGTTTTTGTATGTTTTGTTGTCTTCCTGAATTCTTTCTGCACATGCGCAGTAAAAGGGACTAATCCAATGTAGTGGTGACTGAAGGGGGAGCGCCGAGACACACATAAGCCGATAAGCATTCTGCTGGCGTTTTAGCGAATGGATTTTAATCAAAAACATAATTAATGTATGCAAATAAGTAAAACCTGTATTAACCATAAGTGTATGAGGAGTTGTAGGGGCCTCCAGAAACTTGGGACCTTAGATAACCCCCTAGTGATGCCTAATGGTGAGACCGCCACTGCTCTGCATAGTAAACTCATTTTGTCTGTATTGTCTTTATTCACAATCTTATTTTTGGGTCACTGTACAAAGCTAATGGCAATCCTTTATGTTCCCTCATTCCTTACATCCGGGGATCAATTTACTGATTGTCAGCAGCGAACTATGACCTAAAAGTTGGAGATGCTTGCCTCCATCCCAACCCTTTCACACTAGCAAACCATCCCAGGAGGCTGTTTGAAGGCTCTTTGAAAGTGCAGACCATGATGCTGTATTGTGGTGTATCAGCCATGACTTCTCAGAGTCTTCAGCATCTCAAGGTAGTTTCATCCATACTGCATGCCCTGCTCCTAAAGAGCTTTTTGACAAGTTCAGTGACCTTTGCCAAGGATAACATTAGTACCCACACCCTCCTTCACCTTCAAACCTGGCATTTGCATCAGAGGACTAGTTGGTTGTGCAGGACATCCTCTAGAAGATGAAGACAGCCACTCCCAAACCTTGCTTCCTCTGCTGAGGTGTCTGATGGTGTGCCAGGACTTTCTTGCAAAAGCCATCCCATCCACCCTGCACCAGCCTGAAATCAATGCAATCAATGCAATGGTTTTGGTCTTTTTTCTGCAGACATGTTTATTTTTGCTAACAGTATGTTTATTTTTTAATGGATGTGTATGTGACAAACTGCAATTTTTAGCACTCATGCATCAACTTCATCTCTCAAGACTTCTCGTTCAGCACAAGACACTCTTCATGAGGCGAGAGCTGAAGACTTTGTAGACAGAAGCAGCAGCCAGACATTTCCATGACACCCTCACTGCACATTTAGGTTTACTTGGTCTGTCCAGGATCTGATCTGATCCAACCCACCAACATCCCAGCACCACCCTACCCCACTCATCAAATGAGCGTGCTTTGGTACTACATACAATTACATATCACCCAATGCTCAAACATGGTGGCCATTATGGTCAATCCATGACTTCTAGTATGGAAACGCTACAACACACTTTCAGTTAAAACTCAGGCTGTTCCTCTGTTTTTCAAAATAAGAAATACTGAACTGTCAAAAGGCATGTTGGCCTGCAGCTCTTGTTTATTTTTATTATGTGTTTAGTTGATTAATGTGTTATGAAAGAAGGGCAGACTAAAAAGGGTTTTCTTCTTCCTGCTCCTTTTCATTCACGTTTGAGATTTTTCCTTGTTTGTATTGAATGTTTTAAATATTAACTAAAAGAAATAAAGTATGAATATGAAAATGAGATAAAACCTCTCTTTACTTTTCTCCATCATGACCAGCATAGGCATCAAATCCTCCAGCAGACATTTGGAGTTCCTTGGTAAACCTTTTTATTAGACTCCTTTCTACTCTGAACTGCTGTTGGGAGTAGTAAACACAAAAAAACACCCAGAGCCTGTCTCTGTGCTACTTGCAGTCAAAGAGTGTGGTCCCAGAACCTGTGATTGTTCAAATCATTTCATTTTTCTTTTCCTTGAATTTTAATACAGGCTGCATTTTAGTTTAAAAGACATTGATGCAGCTCTTTAAAAGGCAAGAACAAGGACAATATCGATCAATATCTGGATTGTACCTGTTTCCATTTTTCATGCTGAGGATTTCAGAAAAGCTAATTGCCTTGGATATTGTCAAGTCTTCATGGATGGCACAATTGTTTGCAGTCTGGTGAAAGACAGTGATCAGCAATGCAGAAAAACATATAAAAATTGACATAATATGATACATTAACAGATAACCACATTTGATAGAAGTTTTTCCTTCTATCTTGACATATTAAGTTGCTCTTGGAGACCTAAATGTGTTGCCAAACATCTACAAGGACATAGTTGCAATGCTATTGATCCACACTGTCACAACATGCACTTGTCTGACCAATGAGGGGAGTGAGGCTCAGCCAGTTCCCCCAGAGTCATCAGGTCAGAGGTGCTACTTCAAGTTTAAAGGCAAATGAGTAGATGTCAATGCAATTCTTTGATTTATTCAAATTAGTGAAACAAGATATGCCAGATATGATAAATATTTTATTTCTTATCAGCAAAAGACACACAGTTGATGCATTTGTATCTTTCATGAATTTTCAGTACAGAGGAAAACCCAAACATATACACAGTATGGGTATATATGTAAATGGGTATATTTTAAAGTGCAAGTGATTCACAAGGGTCAATCATGCGTTACATAGCATCAGGAACTTCAGTAATCTTCTTAAATCCTTTTTGAATCTGATAGTAAAATAACTGTCACTTATATATATTTATATATATATATATATGAATACAAAATAAACTTTACTAGTCACTGAAGCTTTTTGATTTTGTTTAAGCACAACATTTATCAATATATATATTTCAAGTCTTGAGAGGAAAGAGTACCATGAAGTGCCAGAAGTGAGGGTGTTGACAGGAGAAATTGTTTCACAAAAGTCACCAAGGGTCCATTTAATAATGCTCCAGTACCACCTTAAGCACCCTAAACTAAACAGAAATCAGGCCATTCATTTTTTTTTCTCCTAACAGCCTTCATGGGTCGCCTTACTCGGGCAATTCCACATTGAAACAGACATTCAGTATACAGGTACATTCTCTGAAATTACCATTACATTTGACTTAGTGAGGAAACAGTCAATTTGCCCTTGCCAAATATATTTGACACAAGGAATGTTCATAGAAAATAAATATGACGACATGGAAAGACATTAAAATGTAAAATGTGGACTGATGCTGAGCTCTCTGTATGCTGACTGATCAGAGCGGCCACAGTAAGGAGGCATCTGGACCAGCATCACACAGGGAAGTAACAGTTTAGCAGCAGCTGTTGGGTTTTGGATTTACCCATGGACGACAAAGATACAGACATTATGTATCAATAGTACATGAAGAAGCCCTGACCCTTCAGGATGCAAAGTTTTTCAGGCTGATTTCTATTCACCGGGTAAATTAAACATGTCTTGATTGCACATGTGTTGAATGTTTCAATGCCCTTTATAGTGGTTAAGATGCAAAGTGCATATTGAACATAAAATAGTAAGCTAGGATATTTTACAGTGTGACTATAGCTCTTAACCTCCCGAGTGATTCCTTCAGAACTGCTGCCCTTTCGCACCAAATGACACTAAAGAAATGATCATCTTCACAGAACAAAAACAAACACCAGTTTACAAAAAAAAAAAAAAAATAGAAGAGATGAGCATTGCCTTCACACTGTACATGCAGCATGAAAGCAAACATGCTGCTGCTTTATTAACACAGCATTCGCTGGCACTGACTGAAAGAAAGGTCAATTTCTGTGTTGCTGTGAATCTTTTGTATGAGAGATTATTGCATAGTTTGGAATTCTTAACATAGCTTTTCAATTGACACTGACATCTCTTTCTCCAGTCTCTGCTTCTCTCATCAGTACAGGACATTTCATGACTCATCAAACAGGACTGGGTTCAACTCCTTCCAAAAAATTGGAGTAAAAACTGCAATAATAATCATTTCGGCAAGATTTGGCAAGCTTGACCTTTTGGGATTTCTCCTAACTTCTGGTTGTTAACCAGTTTACTGAACCCAGCCTTGTCTTAATGTTCATTTCTGTATGTGTAAGAATATTTACACATTACTCCCAACAGAAACTCACTCAGCCCACTGATTATCTCATTGAGCACCAGTATCTACCTAACAGGTACAAACTGTAGAAATCAAACACCAGCATGAAGACCCGTCTCAGTGACTGCTGCTCTCCACAGATCTACTGATCATAAATGATTGTCTTGGTCTTCAAATCCCATTTTGATGAACAGTTCTGTCAGAAACTTAAAGAGCTTCATCATACATTTTGACAGTGTGCCTGATCATACACTGATCCAGGCTGTGTGTCAGCAGCATGCTAAGCAGCCATTTTGCATTGGCAGACAGAGGGGAGAGCTATTGTTCCAGCAGTGTGGAGCTTTTTCAGATTGCTCTTCCATTCAGCTTTATAGCGACTTGTGATATCAGCTGAGATAATGTTTCAATAAGTGGCAAAATACTGTACAACATTGCCAACTCCAATGAAACACTCGTGTTGGTTGGGCACTCTGGGGGGGAAAATGACCAAAAGAGTTGTTTGATATGCAGAACAACATGAACATGTATCTATTGAGAACTCCTGAGTGTCACTGTCAATGAACCGTCTATGTATTATTGAAACACAAACTAACTGAAATCCCTGATGTTACATTAGGAGTCTAGTCAATCACAGCTGTCTGCACACATTCGACTTCTTTCAGTCTAGCTTGTGCTGCTTATCTGTAGCTATATAACAGTGCAAAAATCTGGACCTGAGATACTGGCTTTTATATTGTAAATATACTGTATGTGGAGAAATATTCTCTACATTTTCCCTTGTTAGTTCGTATCCTCCTGGCTGCATCCTGATAGAGCAGTACATGGGTGGGGCTAAGGTCGAAAAGGTTGACATGAAGTGCTTTCAGAAATCTATGAGATTGATCAACAGTTGAATATGAAGCCATTACAACTTATCCTATGAATCCAAACTCAGACTGTCATGATTAGGCAGATTCATTTGGAGAAAAATACAAATATGGATGTTAACGTTATGCTATTTATGTTTAATTTCATAATGACATAGGTAAAAGCACGTTTTAAAGGGGTCAACGCCAATATAGACACTATACAAAGAGATGTCTTGGGGTAATCTTGTCAATCAGAGCTGACACATTAAAAATAAAAAACAAAACAGCAAATGAATAAAAAAGAAGAGTAGTTCTCGATGCTGGTGTTTGTTCATCTGTGATTATACCTGCTAAATCTTCCACAATGTGTGCACCAGATAAGCTAGCAGCTGCACTGACGACCTCCGTCATCCAGAAATTGTGTCAAAATGAAGCTATTGTTTTGTTGTGGTCCCTTGTAACACCCAGGAAGTAGATCACCTGACCTGAATGACCAACCTTGTTCCCCTATGGCCAGCACAGAGTCATGACATGGGTCCCATTCAGTCACCAGAGTGTCAGCTCACTTTTTTTTTTTTTGGCATACAGCTCATGTTCAAATAGGAGCCATGTCTGAACTTGTTTTTAAACCTGTAAACTAATTAAAACTACAATAATGCATTAAAATAATAAAAAAAAACATTAAATAATATAGTAGGAAAATAAATATCATTCCAACAAGGCTTTTTTCTTTTTAAATAGTCATTCTCAATCTCGACACTGGAAGCCAGTGTGTATGTCACGTTATCCACCTCAGAGAGCAGTGATCATCAGTCCAAGAAGACGACTGCTCTCAGTCTCATTGGTGAACGTGCTGATCAGCTACTCCTCATACACTACTGCTTCACGCTCAGGTCGAAACACAGATACAGATTCCACTAAACATGGTCCTACATACACTTCAGAGCTCAACAGTCATATGCTTTACAAGTAGCTGGATACAAGATATGTAAAATGGACTTTTTCTGATGTTTAGACTCAGCCATGACCTGGACGATCCTAGGTACAGGACTATGCTTCGACACACACGACCATGGCTACATCTGCCATCAGAAAAAAATATAAAACAATTACAAGTGCTATAGCTATACACTATTTTGGTTTTTCATGAATAGCATTCAGGGCAGTTTGTAGTTTTTTGGTTAGTTTTAAGGTAACCTCTCAAAGGTTATCATGAAACCTCTACAGACCTCCCTCCATATGAGCTGTCTCTCTTCTAGAGGGCTAGCTATGGCTGTCTCAGATAACTTAGTTTACAGTACATTAAACTGTGATGTTAGTGTTAGAAAATAGAAAATTATTTCCACATCTCATGCTCACAATTTCACAGGTCTCATAGCGGAAATATTAGAAACATCTACCAGTTAATTCTCATCCCTATCAATAAACTAAGAATATTCCAACTACTGATTTCTAGCCATGAAGAAATGTCAAAATCATGAGTTTTTGTCTTTTAACGTACATACTTGTGCTCTACAGGCATGAACCACTATGGCTGTTTTTTTTTTTCTTTTTTTTTTGTTTTCTTGGCATCAAAAGACTCGTTAAGGATTCAGCTCTGTTGGAGGAGGTGAAGAGGAGCGAACAGGACCCCGTCGCAACGTCGCAACAGCCACATGTTCGACACTAACTGTGAGCAGACACGTTTGAAAACAGTCGATGGAAGGGCCTAAGTGTGGGATATACAATATAACAACAATCAACTTCTGATATCGACTCTATGGGCGTTCCTGCATTCCCTAGAGGTGCATGTTTCTGTAACTTCCAGTCTAGCAGAGGAATGTATTCTGTCACCCCTAGGGAATAATGGAGCTTTCACGATGTTTTGAGGAGTGTGTGGAGTTTCTGGATCTGAGTGGGAGTTAGGAGCTGTCACTGGCTGAACGTTTTTTGCCAAAATGACTGGCGGAGTCTCTGTTTCGCAGATTAGGCTGGATCTTGTACATATGGGGACCTATGGACCAGCGCCAGCTCCCACGGCCCTCCACTCCAGTTGGGATGGCGGCAGCTGCAGCCACAGCAGTGGATGGGCAGGGCTTGTTCTGCAGCAGCTGAATAAGCATGGTCATCTCTGGGCCCAGCCGCGACACCATGCTGACCCGAACGCGATCCACTGTGTCCTCATCGCAGTCCATCAGGCTCTGCAGCAGCTTACCGTAAAACCTAAGAGAACAAAACTTTGTGTTACAGACTGCTTTTTTTTTCAGAACAGGCATTTACTACCATATATTCATGTAGAGTCCTCTAACACCTCGTAGGTATTTCTGTTTTTGCACGCTGCTCTGTACTCTGATGTCATCCATATGGGAGTAACCGTCCCTTCTCCAGTCACTACTAAGCCATGTGCTCCACCCTCTAGCCCCCCTTTTGTACCTACTCCCAAACTGCAAACCTACGAGTATTACAAGAACAATAGGAACAAAAACATGCAAACTTGATATTCCTGTTTCATTTTCCCTAACTGTAGAGAAGAATGTATGAAGCAGATGGTAACCAAAACATGGAAATCGATACAAATTTAGCCATCTGCTATGTTGCATAAGTTGAAGTCAAAGGATTTTTTTTAATGGAAGTCATGCTTTTTGTATACTTTTTAGCATCGTTTGAATATTTTGCCAAAGGTTTTCTGCATTTGTGATGAATCCATGTAATAAAAACTTAATTTTTATGATTAAAACTGCCTTGAAGGTTAATTGTACAATATGTACTATAGCCTATTACCCTGACCAGCCAGTCTTTGCAGAGTACATGAAGGAAAAAGGAGGTACTCACCTATTCGGGAAGTGGCTTGGAAGCTGTGCCACTTCACCAATAGCATCTGGATTGGACCGGGCCACAGTGCAGATATCCAGCTTGCTGTAACACTCCTCTTGGACTTCGGATATCATTCTTTGGAAGGTGGAGCAGCGGCGTATAGTGGGGAATGCCTTCGAGGTGATGCCATTGGCAATACACTTAAGGCTCTCCTTCACAAATGCTTTACCCTGTTATAAAATAAAAAAAAAACAAACAGGTCAGAATTCTTCACACATCCATGCCCTGACAGTTACACCCATGAAATGTGCATGTTGAAACAGAGAGAGTACAGTCTTTGTTGAAGTGTGTACCTGAGTGTCAAATTTAGCAGCACTGTATAGGAAGGACTTGCAGATGTCATGCATGCCATCTGTGTCACAAGTTGAGTTCTCCAGGCAGGCGAAGGCTCCGCAGCCAACTTGGAGGGCACTGTTGAGACAGCGTGCCACATCTGCTGTGGGCACAGAGAATGGACCATCAGCGGGGGAGCCAACAGTGGCTTCAGTGGGAATCACTGCACACTCACTGAGCTCATTACACAAGAGGTTGCCAGGGTTTAGGCTCAAAAATGTGGCAAACAAAAGAGAATTTTCATACATTGGTGATTCACAAAAGACATACAGTCACTCGGGGCAAACTTGACTGGAGATTGGACACCTGACAACTGGGAGAGTCTCAGACACTATTTGGCACAAGAGCTCTTTTCTCTTGGCAGGGACCTGTAGTCCACTGTTTGGTTCTTTTCAGCAGAGCTTGGATGAACAGCACCAGAAATACCAAAGAGTTTCCTGAAAATTGTTGGCATGCCTGTCGATACACACAAAAATACACTTGTACTGCTGGCACACAAACACACACACATAGAAACGCACATTGCATCTGGAGTCTGTCTTTAATTTTTTTTCAAGCTGAAGCAGAGAAGCTAAATTGAGAACATCCAAACCACTTTAATATTCCTAACTAATAACTCAGCACATGTCAGAGTGAAGTTGAATATCCAGAGATCAGGATAATGAAATAGACATTCAAAGAAGAAAGAAAGTGTCACATGACAAGAATTTTTACCAGGCTGAAAAACCCACATGTAAGCCTCCTCTGCATTTACAAGCACAACTTATTCCTCATGCTTATTTTTCCAAAACTCATCATGACCAGAAGGAGCTCAAAGATCCTCTACAAAGGTTACACCAAGACAGAGCTATAAAACATAATCTGTAAATCAGTTCATCCAGCTGAATGTCTCTTTCTTATTTTTCATCCAAGAATCCACTGAGATGGCAGGCAGCCTGACTTCAAATCCTTTGTAATAACCATTAAGAAATGTCACTGCAGAGCCTAAGCCTACTTGGCAGACTCCTGAATCTGGGGCCCCATGTTGACCTGCACAGTCGGATAAAGTCTGCCTGCCATCAGGGACCAGAGATTGTTCTCAAAATACAGAGAGTGAGCTGCAAATCTTATGATGATGAAGCAATTCCTGCAGAAGGGAATCAGCATCCCTGTTACCCCCTGCCTTCTGTTGCTGCACTGTACCTTTGTGTTCAAAACATTTCAAGAAAGACATGCAGTTAGGTGCTTTGCTGGTTCATTCACAGGTGATAATAAAGGATTACGACAGTGGCATTCCCTCTTTTTTATGCATAAGAAACTAAAAAAGGTTGCATTAAGTAAACCAGGTGACAAACTGTATCTTTTCAAGGCAAAATAGGAGGAAATACTGATGTATCCTACTTTTTTTCTGACTTGAAGGCAACACAGGAAGGCTACCAGAAGCTTTATGTTTTATGCACTAAAACCCCCGCTCCAAGTCCACAATAATTCTGAACAGAGGGACCTAATGCAGCAGCCAAAGCCATGAGAAAGAGACTATCAGCATGACACAGCCTGCGCTCTCAGGTGTCAGCACCAAGCTCCATGCTCATCTGTTGCCGGCAGGACACCGGCAGAACCACAGCGTTAATCCTGCAGCCTTCTCTGTGAATTAACGCGCTCGTTTACACACAAAAGGCTGCATAGGCCAAGAAAATAAACATATACGAGGAAAAAGAATATCTGCACATTAAGCGAGCAAAGGTAATTCTCTACATTGTGGAAAAAGGTCTGCAAAAAGCAAGCAGTGCACTCTGTAAAATATGCAAATGAAAACAGCTTGTTACTTACAAGGGCTATTGGCAGAGAAGCGTGCTCTTCTGGGCGAATAAGACTCGTTCTGATCCAGTTCATATGCAGATGCGTTTAGCACCATCAGGAGAAAAAGTCCGGTCCTCAAAGGCATCGTCCTCTCAACAGAGACAATATAACTAAATGCAAAGAGACGGCTCCTGCTCTGTGTGTAATTCATAAGAATAACGCTCCAAAAAGCTTCAGCAGCGCCGGAAACAAAAGGAATACTGGATATTACAAGTACGCTGTCAGCTATTTCTTTACACAGGACTCCACACTATCCTTTTGACTTGCATGACAGATAGAACCGATGTCAAGTCTGCTTGGGTTTATATGGGAGCGCTGAACATTACGAGTTCTGCGTTTGGACCAATCAGAGCGCAGGATTCGAGCCCGTGGTCCTGGTCTTTCCACTACTAATTGATAAAATGATTCAACAGCGGCCAAAACTGCAGGTCCTTCTGCTCAGCATCAACAATGATGACAGTTTTGTCTATTGAAGATATTTTTTAATGTTTCATTGACATAATAAAACGATGTTATCTTGTTACTAAGTATAAGCATAACTCTGGCATTTCTTAAGTTCACCTATCAGGACTTACAAGCAATTCAACATGAAACTTCAACAGCCGGTGTAAAATTCTCATAATAATAATAATAATAATAATAATAATAATAATAATAATAATAAAAATACTAATACTACTACTAATACGACTACAACTAGTACTACTACTAATAAAGTAAAATAATAATAATAACAAATTGAAATAATAATAATAAATTCAAATAATAATAACAATACTAAAAATACTACTACTACTACTACTACTACTACTACTACTACCACTACTAGTACTAATAATAATTAATTAAAATGATAACAAATCGAAATAATAATAACAATACTAAAAATATTACTACTACTACTACTACTAATAATAATAAATTACCAATAATAACAAATTGAAATAATAATAAAAATAATAATAAAAAAAAATACTACTACTACTACTACTACTACTACTACTACTAATAACTAATTTGACTATAATTATTATTATTATAAATTAATTAATTAATTAATTATTGGGCCCATTTGCCATTTGTCAGTTTGGTTCCCGGCAAACTGTGGCCCTTTCACAACTCAACCATGAGCATGGTTGACGATTGGAGAGATCGGTAATTATTATGAACCTGGTTTAGATGGCGCTCATGGTCCTATAGTTTGATCTCCACAAAGTGAAGAGAAATTGGAATAGACAAAATCCGCTCAATCTATCAGCTGCAGGGCTGCAAAAACATTGACCAATGGGAGCCAACCGCCCCGGACAGCTCCTATTGGTCAATCTCCTGCTTTCCGCCTCCTCTCTATCCAATCACCTCTCCTGTAGTTCCGACTCGTCCTCTCCTACTCTTCCGGCACTCCTCGGAGCTCTGAGCGGCTAAAAGTAGCATAGCAGCTTAGCTACAGGAGCTAAGATGGAGACGGACGCAAAAAAAGAACACTTCTGCTTACCCCACCGTCAAACATGGGAAGAAAACGCAAGCCGACAGGAGAAAGGGCAGAGTCGAAGAGGAAATGTGACAAAGCGAGGAATCTATAACTCGGATAAACATCGGGTCTTCCTTCGAGCGGTGGAGAAAGCTTCCGAAAACAGACACCGAGACAGCATACTTTTTTTAATCAGGTAATTTTTGCCTTTTATCTTGGCACATGTTACATAAATAATGCTTACTAGTCCCTGCAAAGGTGCTCGCGAGCAGAGCTGGCGTTTACGACCGCTAGTCATTAGCAACGCGACATGGTGAATCCTATTTGAAGTAGTGTTGTTTCGTTCGCGAACGAGTCGTTCAAAAGAACCGAATCTCCTAAGTGAACCTCCTGAACCGAAGTTTGAATTCTTCTAAACGTTCAGTGAACGAATCGCTCACTGAGCCCAATTAACAGAGCAGACCTGATGAATAGCATACCCTAGGACAGTACACTTAAAACATCATGACTTATAAATGATTCATTTTTTACAAACCTGTTTGCCAAAACAACACAGCCAAACACTTATGTCTCCTGGTCCAGGAAACTGAATCTTTCGCAGGCTTCTCTCACCAAGCACTACATGATTCTGTGATTTGGTGAACGAATCATTTGAACTGATTTTTTTAGTGAACTGAATCTAGTGATTCAGTACATCTAAAAGAACTGCTGTGCCTATCACTAATTTGAAGCTAGCATAGGATCCTCTGCCGGCAGGCTTCTTGTTCTGCCAGAGGGCGTGTGTGGTGGGGAGGGCGATACAGGTTCGGGTTCTCAACTTTGCCTTTTACTTTGTCTACTCCCTTGCATATTTGATTTCAAAAGTTAAATAGCCCACTGCAGCTTCATCTCATCTTCTGCTCAGTCATAGGTCATGAAAATATAGACTAAAAAAGCCACATTTCCAACTCAGTTGTTTTCAATCAGTACCTACCCGCGCACTTAATGATGTTATATGATGTGAGTAACTTGGCAGCCGACCTGTGCTGCTTGTTTTTGCAGTTAAAAACAATCACCCTGAATAGCTTTAAGGATAGCAGTTACAAGACTACATGAAGCAGTGATTTGTAAGAACCCATGCACGGAGTGGAAAAAGTACTAAATGTTCTACTTAAAGGGATATTCCTGTGAAAAATTAACTTTGGGTCAAACACACCGTAACACAGAGTTAGACACCCCCTCGAGAGATGAATGTTGCCGACTGCTTGCTTCTGTAGTTATACCAAATTTAGATAATTTCTTTATCAATTCCTGTCTTAACGTCTCCGTCTTATTGCATTTCCATGAAGTAATGATCATAAATGTTCTTCCTTGAGCTGCGTAACCCCACTGTAGTCCGTAATGGATTGGCCCGAGGTTTCGCTACAAACAAGCGGCTGCTGGAAGAGAGTAGGTGAGTTGTGTTTAGTGTCTTTGCTAAAGAAATTGGGCAAAGTTGAAAAGATGTTTGGTGGCTAGTTAGTGCTGTGGCTGGGACCCTGTATGTACTGTTGATGAAGTTAGGTGCTGTTCTGAGCATTATTTGTGGCTATAGAGTGGCGTTTTGGTTGAGGTTTGTTTATGGCTCCTCAGACCGCTGTGTATTGCTATTGTGCGGTCATTACTAAAGTTGGTTTAACTAGGGAAGCAAGCGGTCGGCGACATTCATCTCTCGATCGGGTGTCTAACTCGATGTTAAGGTGTGTTTGACCCTAAATGAATTTTACGCTAGAATATCCTTTTAAGTAGACGTACAGTTACTGTACAAAAACACTGAAATCAAAGTAACAAGTATTGAGATCAATCAGTGCAACGATGTTTGATCCATTAAAAGTGTCACACAGTATTTATATTGTAAGATATTGCAAAAAGACAAACAATTTTTAAAGCATTTTAAACTTCCCCTAAATGTAAACAAGTCTAACTCTGACAAAGTTTGCTGAGTGTGTTTTTACTTTGCCCTGTAGCTCAGCTGGTCAGTGATGATGAGCGACTCCTGAGACCTTTCATATTCTTCGTACTCAGTGCAATTGTTAACTTGCAGATGGCAGAAAAAGTCAAATGTTTGTCTTCCGTGGTAAGCGCTTTTAAAAATAGTCTGCAAATTGACCCCTTTTTTAAACAACATCTGTCTTTTAAAGCCAGACCACCTCCATGCAAGTGAGGCATGAGCCATGTTTAATAGTTACGCCTAATGATGGTGATTCTGTGACTGGTGTTTGTGTTCTTTACCCATTAGTACATTGTGATAAATGAACACTGCATATGTTCTCAATGAGCAACCTTTAGATTTGATACTTTTTTTTCTCCAAAATAAGTGACACACTCAATATTGTCATTTAACACATTGTTTGAGTAACAATTAAGATATTATCTAGACGATAGGTATCGCACTGTCCTGAAATAATTGGTATGAAAGCATTTACATCTGCTCTTTGCAATGCAGTCCTGTTTTAGCTTCCCTAATCACAACACTCTGTTCTTGCAACTGCCAGCAGCTGTGTTTTAGTTCTGAGAGATAATGTGGTGTTTTTACATGTCGCCTTGCCCCAAAATTACTTTGCCACATTTGTCAATAGCTTATGCAACAGTTTTTTAAATTGAGGTCCTCTACTAAGAATAGTGTTGTAAACTAGCCACATTTTAGTCCCCGCTCTTCTGGTTACTTCTTACTTCCTTGAAGGAAAAGTCCTCAAGAAATAACAATAATGGGCAGGGTCTTACTTGGATGTGATTTTGTTCTTCTCCCCACCCTGAATACTTCTCTACAGTCATTGATGTCATCAAATCTCCACACTAACAAAGCAAAGCCTTCATTAAACCAGGCTGTATTTATTCAAATGTGGTGTCCAAGTATCAACCCAGAACATTCAAATGACACGTCTTTTTTATCACTCTGGCATTTTCCTGAACCATGCGTAATGATGACACCATTGTTGCTTTAACTTAAGGGGATCGTCTTTTACAAGGAAATCGACTACCTGTATTGTTGACATAAAAGTGAAGGTAATTATTGCTCTCGACCTAAATCTTCAAAGTCCACTGCCTTGTAGCTGTGTGTGTTAGCATAGAGAGGATGACGTGTGTATGGGACCGTAAGATCATTAATCATTAGGTCTCATACTTCCTCTGTTAGTGCTCATCCACAGGTACAGAGAGAATCAGACTCCAGGAGGTCAAACTGTCCTCATTAAGTACCACTAATATCAATCAGAATGCAGCTATTATCACCCACTCATGTCTCACTTTAGAAAAAGATTGGAAATGTTTACCTTGCAGGGATGTGAGATCACTTCAAGGCCGCTAGGTTGTTTGGCAATCGTTGAGCTTTTACTTAGATTTCCATCAGGACTCTGTCTTCTTGGCGTGGCATTAGGCTGTTGGCACTTATCTCCCCTCTGAAATCCAAATACAGGCCAGCCTAACCAACAGTGATTGTAATTTAATGACAGTAAAGGTGTACTATCCTGATGAAAGAGTAATTTTCTCTTGTCAATATCAATCATTATCAGCACCCTTGGTCTTGGCAGATACATGTAACCCGTGAAACATTCCACTTAAGCTCTAATATTTGAGTATCTTTAAGGTTTATCCTAATTTTTACGTCATTCAAAGAGAGATTTCAATATTTTCAAATCAAAGTCTACTGTCGGACATGTTTTTTTTTACCGTAAGCATCTCTGTCTGTATGAGAGAAGAAGCTTCCAGAGTGATGACTGGCTCTCTGTCCTGTAAACCGTGTGCGGAAAACAATATGTCAAAGACAAGCCTGCTCACTTATTGGTTATGTCA